CCTTCACTTTGGGGCCTTTCAGGTTCAGATCAAAGTCCGGCATGGAGATTTTGGGGGCTTTGAAATGCATCTCGGGCATCTTAAATTTGGGACCCTTTAACTTGCCTTCTGGGCCCTCAATTTGAACATCTGGGGCACTGACATCCAACTCGGGACCTTTAACATCAACTTTTGGCCCTTTCAGGTCACCTTCCACACACGGCACAGAAACGTCCACATCCCCCTTCACCTTCGGGCCTTTCAGGTTCAGATCAAAATCCGGCATAGAAATTTTAGGAGCCTTAAAATGCATCTCTGGCATCTTCAATTTGGGGCCTTTCAGTTTTCCTTCTGGGCCTTCAATCTCCACATCAGGAACATCTACGTCGACTTTGGGTCCTTTTATATCCAGTTCAGGACCCTTCAGGTCACCTTCCAGCTTGGGAACAGACACGTCCACATCCCCCTTCACTTTGGGGCCTTTCAGGTTCAAGTCAATGTCAGGCATGGAGATCTTGGGTGCCTTGAAGTGCATCTCGGGCATCTTGAACTTGGGGCTTCACCTTCTCCCCTCTGGACCTTCAATGTCCACCTCCAGACCTTCAATGTCCACCTTTGGACCAGAAACATCCAGGTCTCCTGTCGGCAGGTTCACGTCCACCTCTGGGCCTTCTGCTTTCAGCCCCGGCATCCCGAACTTGGGCATTTTGAACTTGGGCATTTTGAATTTTCCCTCTGGGCCATGAACGTCCACGTCTGGCACATCAATGTCGACTTTGGGGCCTTCAATATTGATGTCGGGAGCCTTCAAATCCCCTTCTAGCTTTGGAGCAGAAACATCTATGTCCCCTTTCAGCTTGGGACCTTTGAGGTTTAAGCTGGCATCGGGCATGGAGATTTTGGGAGTCTTTATGTGCATCTCTGGCATTTTAAACCTGGGACCTTTCAGTTTTCCTTCTCGCCCTTCAACATCCAGCTCGGGAGCATCAATGTCAACCTTCGGTCCTTTGATGTTAACGTCCGGCACACTCAAGTCCCCTTCCAGTTTTGGCACTGAAAGATCGACGTCCACACCTCCTTTTGACTTGGGACCTTTCAAATTCAAATCAAAGTCTGGCATGGAAATATTGGGAGCCTTGAGATTCATTTCAGGCATTTTAAATTTGGGGCCTTTCAATTTTCCTTTGGGACCTTCAATGTCAAGGTCAGGAACCTCCACATCCACTTTTGGGCCTTTCACATGCAAATCTGAGCCCTTCACATCCACCTGGGGAAGGGAGACGTCCACATCTGCCTTAGCTTTGGGGCCTTTCAGGTTCAGGTCGATGTCGGGCATAGAGATCTTGGGTGCTTTGATGTTCAGTTCTGGCATCTTAAATTGGGGACCCTTGAGCTTCCCCTCCGGCCCTTCAATTTCCAAACCAGCACCTTCGATATCCAGCTTGGGACCCGAAACATCCAGCTCTCCCTTCGGAATGCTAACGTCCACCTCTGGCCCCTCAGCCTTAAACCCAGAGACCCCAAATTTAGGCATTTTGAACTTTGGCATTTTGAGTTTACCCTCCGGCCCATGAACGTCCACGTCAGGCGCCTCAATGTTGACTTTGGGGCCTTTGATGTCCACCTCAGGACCCTTCAGTTCCCCTTCCAACTTTGGGCTGGAAACCTCTAACTCTCCTTTTAGTTTATGCCCTTTCAGATTTAGCTCCACATCTGGCATCGAAACTTTAGGTGATGAAATACTCAGGAAAGGCATTTTAAATTTTGACCCTTTCGCTTTTGCCTGTACGTCCACATCTGGAGGATGAACATCAACTTTCGGACCAGATATTTCAATGTCAGGTTTTTTAAGTTTCACATCCACATCAGGGCTTTGCACTTTAGGACCAGAAAAGCCAAATTTCGGAAGTTTAAACCTGGGTTTTTTAGACTTTCCTTCTAGCTCAAGCTTCGGTCCCTCAACCTCAAATTCTGGCCCTTTGATGTCCACCTTCGGACTTTTCAGCTCACCCTCTATTTTGGGAACGGAAGGATCAATGTCAGCTTTCAGTTTTGGGCCTTTCAAATTTAAGTCAATATCTGGCATGGAGATTTTAGGAACATTGAATTGCATGTCAGGCTTCTTAAACTTAGGACCCTTAAGTTTCCCTTCAGGTCCTTCAATGTCCAAGTCAGGAACAGAAACATCAACCTTTGGACCTGAAAGAGCAACATCAGCTTCAGGTAGATTCACATCAACATCTGGGCCCTCTCCTTTCAACCCAGACAACCCAAACTTGGGCATTTTGAACTTGGGCATTTTTATTTTACCTTCTGGACCATGAATGTCCACGTCGGGTGCCTCAATGTCAACTTTGGGGCCCTTAATGTCCACCTCGGGACCCTTCAGGTCACCTTCCAGCTTGGGAAGGGAAACATCCACATCGCCCTTGAGCTTGGGGCCCTTCAGATTGAAGTCAACGTCGGGCATGGAGATCTTGGGTGCTTTGATGTGCATCTCAGGCATCTTGAACTTCGGGCCCTTCACCTTCCCTTCTGGACCTTCAATGTCCACCTCTGGACCCTCAATGTCCACCTTTGGACCAGAAACATCCAGGTCTCCTGTCGGCAGGTTCACGTCCACCTCTGGGCCTTCTGCTTTCAGCCCCGGCATCCCGAACTTGGGCATTTTGAACTTGGGCATTTTGAATTTTCCCTCCGGGCCGTGAACGTCCACGTCAGGTGCCTCAATGTCAACTTTAGGGCCCCTGATGTCCACCTCGGGACCCTTCAGGTCACCCTCGAGCTTAGGGACAGACACGTCCACATCGCCCTTGAGCTTGGGGCCCTTCAGATTGAAGTCAACGTCGGGCATGGAGATCTTGGGTGCCTTGATGTGCATCTCGGGCATCTTGAACTTGGGGCCTTTCAGCTTCCC